TCCCTTGACCGCAGTGGGGCTGTGCTGCATTTTTCCATAGGACAACTTGAACTTGCATTCAAACCGCCTATGTGTGAACTCTGTGTAAGAGTATGGCTGTTTCATATACTTGGCATTGATCAGCTTTTTGTATATTGTCCAGAGCCATTTGTTTGGTGTATAAAAATCTCCATAATTTGTTTTTATTGAACATTCTGAATGGGATCTTTTATTTTTATGAAGGAGGTGTTCAAGTCTGTTTCCTTTAAATAACATATTCATAACTAGGGTGGCAAAGCTGAATCAATCATTTTCATGAAACGAGTTACAGTATTTTTGGTTGACTAAAAATGCCCAATTAATAGTAAGTGCAAACAATATGTGCTTATTTCTTTAGAATGATTTTGTTTTTATATGCACATTTATGCAGTTTTGATTGACTAACAATACAATCCCATACATGTCTAAATAGAAGTAAGTTCCATTTGGTTTAATGGGTAACTGCATAGAGTTTTAAAGCTAACCCTCTGAACAGGAAGTATGATCTTAGTGAGAATTGCCTTCTAGTAGACATGCATAGGACCAAGTAGTAAAATTTACTTTAAACTTTTATTCATGCCTATTCATAACCTGACTACCTGTTAACATCAAGCTGCTATTAAAGGCACAGCTTTGGTGACCCCCCAGAGTTGACCCCCTGCTTGCAACTTTCCCATGACCTCAGTGAATTTGGGGACATTCAGGCTTTTTATCTATGCCTCTGTTACAGAGCTGAAGCTCCGGAGGTGCTTCTAGGAGGAGGAAGCCTATCACTAACCATCAGAAGGTGTGGTGCAAAAACGGCATCTTTTTCTCCATTAATGGGTTTTCCCTGGTAAGGAAGGAAGATTGAAGAAGTGGAGGGATGACACAGGACGTTATCATCATCTGGAAGCTTTCCTGTCAAAGCTGATGAGGGAGGCAAGGTGACCATTCTTCCTCTAGAAGCACCAGGGCCAGATGTCCCGTTTCAAAGGGAAAACATCCCGGCTCAAGGGGTTTTCCAAGAGAAGTGAAAATATGAAGAATAAGGAGCGCCCCTTTTCACTTTGATATCAGCTGCATCTATTTGAAGATGCAAAAGAAGCTGCATCCCCTAGTTCTGCAGACTTCTAGATCCACCTCTTTCTCTTTCCTGTCGATGTGTATTCACTTGTCCTCTCCAAGAGGTGGGGCAGCAGCCTCCGCTTGTGTGGAATTCATTGAGTCCACAGAGAAAGGGCAAATGACCGGTTGATGGAAAAATTAGCAAGAAGGGGAGCCCACTTGGTGTAGGCCCCCCGCAAATCTGGAGCTGGCATGGAAAATTGTGCCAGTCGAAGAGAGCTTGCTACCCAGAGATGAAAGCAACTCCCCCTATCTGCAGCATAGTCCTGACATCAAAACAGCAGCTTTCAAATGGGAAAGTGAAGACTGCCTGGAGTGTAGCCCTAGCTCTGTGAGGTCATGAGGACTAGAAATGTGGTCTTGTGGGGAAAATATTGTTCTGCAAGATTGCATGCAATGCTGTGGGGAGACCCCCAGTACCTTCCAGAGGGCAGGTGGTTATGTGGTTATGTACTGGTTATATGATTATGTATTCCATTCCCAGCCTTCTGGTTTCTGAGACATTCTGACACTGCTACTTAATACTAATTCACCTTTGGCAGGGATATATGACTCCCTGAAGGAGGGAACAATACAAAACAGGAAACACACTCATGCAATAGTTATCAACCCTTGCTTGCTTTAAAGGAGAGGTGGAGAGGTGGCAATCAGTGATACTGCAGACAGCCCACTGCATAGATGGCAAGGAAAAGCAAGTGTACGCATATGCGAGCACGCACACACACACACACACACCAGGGCTAGTGTTGGATTCTGGTCTCTGAAGCAATGCATGAAGGTGACCGTAGCTGCAGCTGGTGCTGACTCAGCAGTGGGAGGAGCAGAAGACATGCGGAAAAAGATAATCAGAACTTTTTTTGTGTTGAAAGCTGATTCAGCGGTATTTTCCCTTCCCATCCCTTTACACAGCCACAGCATGAGAGCAGGCACAGGCATCTGTTCCTTACCCTTCAAAAGTCCTTGCTCCCATCTCTTCCCCTTGATTTCTACCGAATCTGGGTAAGATGGTCCACACTGCAGCCTCCCTGGAGAATTCCTCCTTTGCTCAGAGGGATTCTAATGTCGCACAAACCAAGCCCACTTTGACCTGGGAAAAGAAGTGGGGAGCAGTGCCACAAGGAAAACCTGGCTGTATATGGCAATACTGATTGCCAATATTGTGAATCTTTTCCAATTCCTAGCGGGAAGACTTCCCTTCCTGTTAAATCATATAATCCCTTAGGAAATGGGTGGGGTGGCCCAGCCTGCCAATTTTTCTGCAGCTCCTAAAGGAAAGGAGCATAAGTTTTCCCCCTTCACTCTGTTTGCTAGTATGGAGCAGCAAAAGAGGCCAGTGATAGGGAGGAAAAAAGAAAAAAAGAAAATGCAATTGCCCTCTTGCACCACTTGGGACAGGGTTAGGGTCATGCAATATTCATTTTCATTTGAGCAGCCAAAATGGTTTGAACTTCCTTGAAATTGGCCATCCCCAAACAGCCAGAAACTCAAGATTTCTCTAAGACCCTTCTTTTGATATAATTTCATACCCAAAAGTACCTCCCTTTTTACTGTCTCCTACAATTTCTCCACCAAATGCAGTGTATGTTTTTCTTGTATTCCCTTCCTCTTTCTTGTATTCCTTCAGTTCACTTTCCTCAGCAGTTCCCTTCCCCTGCCATTTTTGTGTCAGCCATCTTTCTTTCCGGAATTCACTGCAGCCTTCCTTTCCCTTTTCTGAACCTTGTTCCCTCTTTGGTGAGGGGCTGGAGCTGTTGAAGAAACTGGAGTGGCCCAGGAGCAGCTCAGTAACATAGAGGAAGAAAGGGAAGGAAGGTATATTGAAAATAAAGAGGAAATGAAAACTATATATATTTAAAGCAGAGGAATGTTAGGAGGAGTTAAGTGAGATTGGGAGGAAGGAGCAGATGTGAGAAAGGAAAACCAGAAAATGGTGGTGCATCTTGAGTCCTTACGGAAGAGTGAGCTGGCAAGAAAATAATTGGGAAAGTACAGGAAGATGAAAATGCGATGAATTAGAAACAACAATAATGAGGAAACAAAAAAATGTGAATTTCAAAAGAATGAGAGGGAACAAAAGATTGGCAAGCAAACAAAATTAAGCAGAAGTGAGAAGCCTTTGAATATATACAAAACAAAGGGGCACCAAGAGTGAGAAATTTAGGAAAGGAGAATAGAACAGAAAGGAAAGTGGAGAGGGGGGCACACACAAATTCTATGCTCCAGGCCTAGTACAGCTGGTTGGCACCCAGATAATATAATCAATCAATCAATCAATCAATCAATCAATCTCTCTCTCTGCTTTTTCCCCTTTTTGTTTTAGCCTTGATGGCTCCATGCATCATGGCTAAAGGGAGCATGCTTGAAAAAGAGTCTTGAGTTCTTAGGAGTTTCTACTGGTGCCATGACACAGCGGTGGCACCTGCTGATGGACAACCAAATGGCAGGGCAAGAATATTTGAGGCATTGATGACTGGAAGACAGTTATTTCCTCACCCCTCTCTAGTTGCGTTTCAGTTGTCTCTCACTTGTGGGGGTAACAATTACAAATGTCTCTTCAAACAGTACTGCGGATTCTTCTTCACAATATAAAGATGGCGGAAGAGCCAGAACATAGAGGTGGCAAGAAGGCAAATGGTGTGAGGCTTCAGGAGAACTCCAGATGTCAAGCCTCCTTCTTCTATGACAGGAACACAAACTGAGGAAAAACATGACATTTCCTGACAGGAAGAAGCCATATTTTAGTCAACCAAGATGGTGCCTCAGTTTGCTTTCCAGCTGCGAGGGACAGCGGCTGAGGCAATAACAACATACACAGTAAGTGTCAAAATAAGTCATTTTTAAGCATACCAAAATGGTGGCCTGGTCAGTACATTTAGGACACAGAAAAGTGGCAAGAGAACCATTTCATGCTAGAGTTTGGCTGAGATTAAGATATTGACAGGTATAAACTGGAAAAAACTTTTCTGTTAGGGTTAGATATTTTGAGTCAAATAAACAGTAATGCTCTCAGAGCTGTATCACAAACTGGAATGGTGAAAATAGAGAGCAAGATACTTCAGTTTACTTGAAAAATTTGGGTCAAACCAACAGCAGTCTAATATATTTCCTGTCATTACCTAAGAAGCTGGGATGGAAAGATTATTGTTTCCAAGTGAATATGACTGAAGAATTATGGCCTTTTAGAGATGGATAAAATGGCAAGATGTCATTTACAGTCAGAAAACAAGAGTCAATGACAACAATAGTAAATTAATTCTTGTGAAATGTGTTATTCTATGGGGAGGAGTGAGGATGGCCAGAAAAAAACTGTGGCAAGAAACTACCTCCTGTCAGGAGCTGGATTGGGGGCAAATGGCTGCTGGGCTTCTTCCTGTCAAGATTTGCAGATGTTTTGGGGATCTACGTCCTGTTAAAGCTTCTTCAAGGAGAAAGTTGAGAGGACCATGCTAGATGAGCCACTTCCTGTTCGGGTTTCCAACCACCTGAGTGAAAGGAGAGGTATTTTGAGGCAGCATAACTGAACTGGGAATTATATTCCTTAGCCTTGCCTCTTCCAGTGCAGTATGGAAGATGAGCAGGGTGCATATGAGTTTCTGAGGGTGACTTTCAATCTGGAAGCAAAGTCTCAATCTGGTGGCAAGGGAAGCAAAGAAATTAGGGAAGAGACATCATCCATCTCAAAACTTGGTTGAATGGTTCCCACCAGCTGGAGAGAGAGAAAGAGAGGATGCTTCGAGCAGAGCAGGTGGTAAAGAGTCTTCAGAGAGGGAAAGTTGACCCCCACTGGTAGAGGAAACTCCTAGGCAGGTAGGAGCAGGACGGTATAGTCTGCAAGCAAAGGCTGGCTTCTCTGTCCAGCATGTTCTCTGTCGCGTCTAGCAAGGGGAGGTGGATATGTGCATATGTTCAGGGTACTTGATGGCTGGTGGGTAGTTCTGAGTCATCTGGATGGAAACGTCGCTGGAGATATCAGAGGGGCTGCGCCCACGGTGCCACACCTCGGGGTGCAAGAACTGGCCAGAGTAGTCAGAACAGTCGCTCAGGCGCGGGCGATAGAAAGCTGGGTGAGGGCGGTACATTTCTTCCTCGGCATAGCGTTTGGTGAAGAGGTAGACAGACATCACGCCTGCGCCCTGCAGAACAGAATGGAGAGAGGGATCCCAGTTACGAAAGGCTCTGTGCATGCTGCTGTACTTTCTCACAAGTCACAGTACTGGGGAATGTGTCACCAATATGAACAACTCCCAGTGGGACAATTTGCAGAGTAAACTTTACACTAGAGCATCTTGGTTTACGCATGGATGCCTGTTATCTTAAATGCTATGACAGTAATCCAGTGGGGTTAATCTCAATCTGGAACCTCTTCTGGATGCTTTAGGGAGCTCACACTGTGGGGGAGCAGGGGCAAAATGGATCTTTCTGCCCAAAATACTCTTCACATGCTTGCTGGGGCACTATGACATACAGAGCACATTCACTGATTTACATGTCACTCAAGTATAAATGGCACAATGAAAGAACACGGGATTTAGGGCTTTATATCAAATTTGAAATGTGCAATGCTTCCCCTACCTGAGAACCTACTTTCCTTTCATGTATAAGCTGGGACTCTCTTTTTATTACTGGGCATGTTTTGAGCTGTGCATTGGACTAGCTGTGTGTTTTGTGCATAGCTTAAATCAAACTTTGGTTCGATATATGTCATCTTTATCTTATGGCCAGGGTTGATGGGCATGTTTAGAATTTTGACAGTATTGTGGGTGCTCACACAAAATGGATGCTCTAGTGGTGGACATGATAGCCTCAAAGCAATCATTTCCCAGGAGGCAACCATCCCAGGTGAGGCTGTAGGAAAAGTAACTGGCCTGAGAACCTAAATGCATGGCCACATTGAAGTCTGAGCTCCAAAACACAGACACATAGAAACAGAGTGAGTCAGAAGGGGTCTCCCGGGCCATCTAGTCTGTCCTCCGGCACCAGCCGGCTCCGCTCACGACATGCCCACCATGTGCATGTCCAGCCTTTCCTTGAACACCCGCACCGATGGGGCCTCAGCGACCTCTCGTGGAAGCCCGTTCCACACCCTCGGGGTCCTGACTGTCAGGAAGTGCTTCCTGACATCTAAATGGAACCTTGGTTCCCAACACACAAACTACTCTGTTGAATGGAATAAAGGTGATGCTCTTTGCTTTGGAGCATCCCAGCATCCCCATTTAAAAATAATTTAAAAGTCTTAAGAAATAAAATAAAAGTCAGGAGGGGCAGGAACCCTGATGAGCTCAAGGAGAGGTGCCTATGCCTGGGCGCCATATTAGCCATTCCAGGTCTATGGTTAGAATTCATGTCACTATTGTTTTACATGTATCTGTGACAGTATGCATATATTTGAGTAGCCTATTAGTTTCCTCTACTACCTGTGCAAGCAGAACAACCAACCCCATTCTAGGATTTCATACATAAATCTTTTATTCCAGCTGAGGGAAATTCACATCCAGTCAGAAGGAAAACACAAATGGAAATCACACCCAACAGGTAAACTGCAAAGAAACATACAACAAGTTGGGATATACAGTATTAAAAAAAAGTTTTTTAAAAACTACAAAATAGACAAATTCATGTAACACATTTTATAATTGCAAAAAATCAAGAACAAACAGCCCAATGGCCACTTTCAGACAAATAAACAGGAACCCTTTCATGTGAAACAAACAACCACTAATGGCTACTCATGGGCAAATGGACACGGATCACTTCATATGTAACAAACAACCAAATGTGTTTCAACCATTTTTGGTCTTTTTCAGTGGTGTAATCAAGTTTCAATTATCCTAAATCTCATATAACGTATAAAGGATAATACCCAGCCTTTCAGCCCCATTTGCCAAATGCAATACACCAACATTAGTATATCAGTGATGCCACCTGCAAAATAAATAAAACATTAATTATTAAGAATTATTAAAAGTTGTAAACATTATTTAAAATATGCAAAGTTTGCAAAACAAACTCACCCGTGGGGGAGGGAAAAAGATTGATACCTTTAACAAGGCCACTCAGCTGTTTGTTTTTTAATTTTAGTTATTACCATGCGTTACATGAATTTGTGTTGTTAAAGGTGTAACCCCCCACCCCCGGTTCTTTTATAATATTCTAAATCCCAAAGTGTTATGGACTTCTTTGGGAAATATACATCCAGTCTCCAGAATTCCAGCTGCTAAGAGTAGGGTTGCCCTCAAGGGGAGGCAGCTGGATACCTGCCAGGGGCCCACTGCCCACTAGCAAGAATCCCCCAAACCTGCTTCACTGCCTCGCCATGGCAACCTGCTGGTCTGGCCCACAGCATGGTGGAAGCAGCAGCCATAAGAACCTGAAGCAGGCACTGCTTAAGTGGTCGGCATCCGAAATACAGGGATTCTGTGGAGCCATTCCTAGACTCTGCTCTTGAAAAGTCTTCCCCGTACACCTGGCCCGCTCATTTTATTCTTCACACCCCATTTTTAAAAATACTCTTCATTAGTGAAGAGGGTTACTAATAAGAGGCCTGCGAATAAGAAACAGTGCTGGATTGTGTGTGGGATACTGGTGTGTTTAGCGTCTGATGCTTGCACCTGGAAGGGGGCCATGTGTCCCTAGTGAGGGGCTGCAGCACCCTGGCAAGACAGAGCCTCTTGCCAGTGCCCGCCTTGGTTCATCACTGGGTGGCCTCCATTCAACATCCCACAATGCCCTGGAGCAATGCTTCCTTGGCAAGGAGCAGAGGGCAAACGCCACATTATGGCAAATTAGGAAGGTGGCTACCTGGCATTGTTAATACTGGCCTAAGAAACTGCGCCCAAATCTCCTTCAAGCCCTGTGCATGACTGTGGACTTGCCAGCCGCCTCTTAAACTTTGAGAATTGCCTTGCACAAACCAGCTAAGCTGCCATCCTGTCCCACACTCTCTTTTCCATGACTGCAGTGAGGAGGTTGACTGGATCCCATGCTGCCTGAACATTAGAAATATCTACCACCTTTGCGTATGGTGGTTCCATTTAGCTACTCTGACTTTGTGTTTTGTTGGCTGTCCCGAATTGCCTTTATTCTTTGCTGTTAACCACCCTGACAGCACTTGCATGCCAAAGGCTTGTGGGATGCAACCTTAATAAGGGAAGGAAGCAAGCAGGCAAGAGAGGAAGGAACTAAAATACATCCTGGTGAATAATTCCTCATCCTTTTGACAGACCTATCCTATATAAGTGTTGTGCATCCACTGAAAGATCAGACATGCAGCTTGAGATGGGGAAAGGTGTTTTACCTTAATCTCTTCAGCACCCCCCCAAAACAAAAAAAACCAAAAAAAAGCAATCCCCCTCCAAAAAAACCTGCAAATTGCTCTGTAGAATAAAACCAGCAGGCACAAATATGAGGTATATTCATGGATTCCCTGTCAGAGTTTGGCTCTATGGATTGTGCCACTGCTTCATTGTTATGAACAAGGGTCTTGGCTCATGATTTTCTCTATTAGTGATGCGGAAGGATGAGCACCGGTCATTATGTAGCCAGAATGACACCACCGATACTGTAAATGGACATATCAGCCCATCTGATGTGGAGGCACCCAAAGAGACATACATACACGTATGCATATACCAAAACCTCTTTGGGAAGAAAAAAGAATGGGGTGGGGGGGAGACACCATAATGAGGACCAGACATGGTCAGTAGCCTCAAAAGATTGAGATGGTTGCAAGAGAAAACTGGGAGATGGAAGTGGCTGGTGAAGATTATTTCAAACACCACTGAAAAGCTGGCAAATGGGCAGAAGCTGCCAGCCGAGAGAGGACAAGTATATAAAGAGGAGTGTGGAAGATGGACCATTAAATCCAAGCCTCCCTCTATGGTCGTCTTTGCCTTCCCTTCTCTGTCCAAAATGGATAAAAAGGGCAGAGGAGGAGAGACACAAGAGATTAAAAGCATAGAGAGAACCAACATATTGTCTAGACAGGTTATTTCTTGGTTCACACAGAGAAGCTATTTTTAAACATTCCCAGGGATGGAGGTGAGAGTGTGCCCAAATGCCCCATCTTCCTAAACTCCAAACTGGTGGAAACTCTGCTTTGCCCTTCTATTTAGTGTATTTTTTTAAAAAAAAAAAATCCTGCTAATGCACATTCTAAAGCGATGCAATTTACTGTCCTTATGTTCCTATTTGGAAGGGGGCGTGGCCAGAAGAGGATGCCTTATGACTGCATTGCAGTGTTGTTCACAGTGAAGATCTCCTATCAGGCTTTAAATGGTTCACAACCACCACACAGTGTATCCAGGGGAATTATGGCCCATTGCGCAGGCTGAGATCTAAGGGAGCCGCTTATGTCAGAACAGCAGTGTAATCCTTTTCTTTTGCATTGCGGGTGGGGCCGAGAGTACAAAAACCCTCTCAGAGGCAGGGGCAGTGCTGAGAGGGACTAGTTTATGGCAGCTGTCCATATTGCAGCTCAGAAGTAGGGCTAAGGCTGGTTTGGATTCCCAGTCAAAAATTCACCATTTCTCTCTGATTGCAGCAATCTGCTTAATTGCCCCCTTAGACCTCCACCCGGCACCCCCCACCCCCCGTTTTATACAGGAGGGTTGTGTACCATTAACCGGCCTGCAGAGCGGTTACACTTTTAGATGTTCAAAGCTAATTATATCTATTACATGAAGTCATTCCCAAGGCAGAGCAAGGACACCTGCCTTGGAGGCTACTTCTTGTTTTCTCCGTCCACTGAGGCGGTGCGTGCCAGCGGGACAGTTGCCAGCACGGGCCTGCAGAGGAGTGAGAGGCACGTGTTTCCCGTTCAGGAGACCCTGAGTGCTGCAAAGCAGCCCAGCAAGGGAGCAGCCATGCTCAGCCGCCACTGAGTGTACCGTGCAAGTTAGAAAAGGAAAAAATGTACTGGGAGCCCAGGGTGTGGAGAAGAGCGGAATACCTTGCCTAGCAGGAATGGCTGCTAGGAACACTGATCTGGCTCTCTGGGTTGGAAGTGGAGTGAAGGTCCCTGAGTGGAGATGGCGGCAAGAAAGCACTGGCCACCCAAGGGGCTCCTTGACTGAATGGGCTTTAAGACCAGGAAGTGAACACTTGCCCCCCAGTGGCTCCCACAGCCCAGACTCTTTCAGGACAGGGTGTGGGACAGGGTGCATGTGAGCAGTGCCTGCTGAGAAGTGGAAAGGGCTCGTCTTCTCCTGTACCTCTTTGAGCAAGAAGGAAGAAGCCGCGAATGCAAAGGACCATCCATAGCGGTATTGGAAGTACTGCTCTGAGCCACTGGGGCGGTTCATCACTTCATCGTTGATGCTGGAAATGTACAGGACCAAGCCCACCACGAGAGAGAGCCCTGCAGAGGAACACAGAAGGGGAGAGGGATGAGGAGGAAGGAAGGAAGGAAGGAAGGAAGGAAGGAAGGAAGGAAGGAAGGAAGGTTGGATGGCTCTTATCTCAGGCTTGCAAACTCCGAGGCAGGATATCAGAGCTGTTCACGAAGAAGCCTGTTGAGCACCATGTGCAGATGCCGCACCACTGGGGCACTTGTAGATTCTTCCCTTGCCCCGTTTCCATTGGCTCCTGCTCGATGTGGGAGGAGGCACCTCTCTGCTGCTATCCTGCCTCGAAACTGCAGTTTGCAGCTGATGTTCTCCTCTAGAACTTAGCGAGCGCCCCTGAAGACCCAGCCTGCTCCTTTCTCCATCGCCACACTCCCTCCATCTGCAAAGCCTCACTTCTGGTTCTGTGCACTGGTCATGACAACATGCGTCAAAGAGAGGAAGCACAGGCGCAGCAAACACGACCGCTGCAACGGTGCAGCCGGGCTGCTGCCGCAGTGCCGCCCTCTTCTAGCTTTCTATTCCATGCCCCCTGCTGCACTCTATAGCTGAGGACAAAGTTATTCCTGGAGAAGCGTTGAAAGCGGCACTGCCCATTCCCCCGTCAGGACTCTTTGAACTGAGCAAGTCCAGTCTGGAATTAGTGCTCCCAAGTCTTCCTGGCTCTGCTCCACGGCTATAAGCACCTCGTAGGCCCCTCCTCTGGGGCAGCCTTTCCTAACCAGGTGTTCTCCCAATGTGTTGGATGGCAACTCCAACCACCGGTGTGTCTGCAGCCACCGGTTTGGGGGAGGCTGCTTTAGACCCTTCGCCACCTCTCCGATCTGCGGCCCTTCCCATTTATTGGCAGAGCGGTCCTGTCTGTGCAGCCCTCCTCCGAGCCCTCGCTTGCATCCTGACACAGATGTCGCTCAGGCCTATAGCAGCCGACATGAAGCTGCGCTCAGTTTCATCTCCCTCCTCCTCATCACAGGAATTGCCAACAGCAGCAAAATGAGGGAGGAGGAAAAGAGAGACTTTTATCGTAAATCTAAAAGCCGTTTTCCACTTCAGTCATGCTCTGGAGCTTTCATCAAGCCGGAGCTGGAGCGTGACGAAAATGGAGGGACGGATACAGCAGCCCTGGGCTCTTTTCCTTCTCCACTGCTCCCTTTCTACTCCCCCACCCCCAAGTCTTATGCTGGTAGCAATGACAGCTTACTGAATTTCTGAACCAAACTATGGTGAAAAGTGGAGAAAAGAACGAGCGTAGCTGTGCACTGTTTATAGGTCTCTTACAAGCAATGGCTGGATAATTCATACCCAAGGGTTGAGTATGTGTGGGTTGTAGGTGAATTGTGGGTTTTTGTCGAAATGTGGGTTACTATGCTGTCTGAAAACAGCTGTGCCAACAAACTAAGAATTGTTAACCACAAGCAACCCATGAAGAGAATCCATGATTTGTTGTTGGCTTATGAACTGTGGGTTGTTCACCATGGTTTTTAACATGCCTCATTGAAACAGCACAATAAGCCAAATTTCAACAACTCATGATTCATTGAAAGCTCACATTTCACACATACTCCGTCCTTGCACATGGGTTGTCATGTCTGATCCAGGCAATGATTTCTCAGGGATGAGCTACCTGTTACGCTGAATGCATACTGTGCAGCTGATCTTAAGTTCATTCTCATTCCCTCTCTCTCTCTCTCTCATGCAAATGCATCTGGGTCCAGATCAGGACTACTATGTGCAGGTTTAAACCTTCCCACTGAGCTGCTTCCCTCCCTGCCTTCCCACCACTTGAGGGCTAAAGAAAGGGAAAAAACCTCCACAAGTGCCAGTACAGTTTTTTTCTGGCTCACTTTAGCTCCTTAAGCCAGGGGTGAGGTAGATTTAGGGGAGAAAGTGGCTGGGTGGGAATATTTAATCTCTTCTACCAATGCACAGTTGTCCCAATAAGTGCTTATACAAAATGTAGTTATAAAAAATGCCGTTTCAGCTGCACACCAGGCTTTCAATGTAGCAAAATAGTTTAGCCCAGGGACTCCCTGGGAAGAGCACTGCGGATTCTGCCACTGGCACTCAGAGCTTTTGAGCAGAAGGTTCTTGTTTGCTGTATTTACTCTAAATTTTGTTGCAGCATCGACACCAGCACTGCGCAGAGCTCTTCCTTTCCTGCTTTTCCACTGCACAACCTCTAGATGGAGCTATGCCATAGCAGCACAGTGCAAATAGGAGAAAAGAATGTCATTTCCTCCATTGTGGTGCAATACTTGAATTTCCCAGTTTTAACAAATCCTGAAAAACCAGATGAGAAATTAAAGGATCACACTTTTGTCTAAAGAGACTGTAATCTGTGAATAAGGATAGAAGAAGAGGAAATCTCCTTCTCCAGATCCAGATCCAGATCCCCTGGCCTCAGTGCTTCACAATGTGAAAAGCCTCCTTTCTACCACACAACAAAGAGGCCAAACTAGGCCGGGGTGTGTTTGTGTGCATGCACGCATGTGTGTCTGTGCATGAGAAAGAGAGTAAGGGTGTGTGGGCGGGACATGTAAATATAGGCAAGTGAATAGGGATTACCTGCGTGTATGTTAGGAGATTTGTCTGAATATGTGGGTACAATAAGGAAAATGGTGGAAGAAAGATTGGACACATGCAGGAGGGCTATGAGTGGAAAACAGTGACATCTAGAAAGGCACAGACAATCACATGATAAAATGATGTGCACAAGGCAGGGTGATGATGCTGTAAAAGCCTTGTGAATGTGTGTGAATAGGCTGTGGACAATCGTGCAATGTTTGCATGATGATAGTGGGGTGAGGCCCACCCAGTTTGGGCAGGCAGACGCCTGTGCACTCATGAGTGCTCACTCACAGTAGTTTGTGGATCCCACCTGTTCTTTGCCACCATGTTTTTAGTTTGAAAAAATCTGGTATTATCTGCAGCATTAAGCTCCCATTTAGTTGTGCAATTCCACTATCACATGGTGCCACCTAGTGGTTGTGTAATGGAACATAAAGAAAGGCGAAGAGAGAAAAGCCCCAGGAAAAAAATATGCGTGAAGGAGCCAGTCTGAGTTCTGCAAAGAATCCTGCAGCAGAAGCCTCAGTCAAAAGGTGAGTTAAAGGCCTTATGTAGAAAATTCCTGATCAGGACATTTCCTTCCAAGTATTACAGCTAGGCTCTATACTGTCATTTTAAATTTTCCAAACTTAATCTTTTATTGTCCTGCATTTTATGGTTATAATTGTTGTGAACTGCCCAGACAGCTTCAGCTATTTGTGAATACAGAAAAGTGATAAGTAAAGTTCTCACAGATAAAACTGTTTCTTCTCATGTTTATTTAATTGCAGGCAACCCAGGCCTGAGACAAGCCAAACCACAGAACTCTGTTTTGCTGTTTTTGATTTCAAAATGGGGAAAGGAGGGCACAGGTGTTTTATTTTGCATAAATGTTTTAACTATCAGCCACAGCCAGACTTGCTCTTTTACAATTAACAGAGAGTAGTGATGCGGACATGGATGCTAATGTCCCTTCTTCCCTGTAGCCCTCCTGCACTCCCAGAAAGTGATCTGACTTCCCAAAACAACAAGGGAGATGAAACAGAAAGCCTGCAAAGAGACGGGGTGTGAGAATAGCAAGAATGGCTTCCACTTCTTACTAACAAAAGTCTCTTTCCCCTTGGAGGAACCCAAAGTGACTCACAAAGTCCTGCTTATCTGCATTTATCTTTACAACAAGCTTGTGAGGTAGATGAGGCTAAGAGTCAGCGCCTAGCCCAAAGTCACCCAGTGAGATTCATGGCTGAGCAAAGACTCAAACCCAGATCTCTTGAATCCTAGTCCTATGTTCAAACAACTATACCACGTGGATTTTAAGTGTTTCTCAGGATTCAGAGCACTGGGCTCCTGTGCTTTCTTTCCAGAAGCCCCTGTCCTGCTATCTTGAGAGGGTTCTCAAAGGCAGTCTCAATTTAACACAATAAACAAATACTTTTGGTGCCCTCCCTACAATCTCTCCCTGCTTCGCACTGGAAAATGCTGTCAGCTCTCCTCAGAGCACAGCTGCTCCTACTGTGCAGGCAAATTTCCCTCTGCTGAATCCCCCCCCCCCCCACTGCATGCCTCACCAGAGAGGATGAAGAAGATTCCAGACACAAAAGCCAGGATCGTCCTCTGGGGGCGGATATGTCCGATGTTGCTAATGACAAATGCTGTGAAGACGAGGAAGAGGCTGACCATGGGGAAAGGGGTGGCTGTGCGAATCGTCTCTGCCCAGACAGACCGAGAGAGAGAGAGAGAGAGAGAGAGAGAGAAGAAAAGAGAAAAAGAAGTCAGACATCCTGAGGTTAAATGTGACTTGGTGCTATCCTAGCTCAGCACCACAGCCTGTTGCAAGTGTGAAGGCTCAGCCCTGTGGTATGTGAAGCTATGCAGAGATCTTTTTGCCTTCCTGGTGAATAATTGCAGGCAGTTTTCTTATACAGCAGCCTCCCCCAGCCTGGTGCTGACACTCCCAGAATCATGTTATATACAAGTAGAGGCAGGAGTTTATGGATGAGCTTAAACCTGGGATCTGTTCTTTGAGAAATGAATCTGATGCCTAAAGCACACCATTGAACTGGGTACAATTTCCTGTATTCAAGACTTATAGCCCACCCTAGAGGTGGGCAGCATGTGATCCTTCAAATGTTCTGGCCTTCTGTTCTGTCATTCCTTACCACTAGTTATGTGGGCTAAGGCTGATGGGAGTTGTAAGTGAAAACATCTGGAGGATCCCAAGTTGACTACCTGTGCTCTTGCATTGTTTGGGACGCAGCTTAGATGTGAGAACACCATGCATGAAAGGTCCACATAGAAAGCCAGTCGGAGCCCAGCAAGGAGACCATTTTTTGTAGTATGCCAAAAGCAATCTATGTATCTTCTCAGGAAGGATAAAATTTTAATTCTGGCAACCCATAAAGATTGTCCAACATTTCTCAACATTTCAGGGTGGTGGGGAGGGCAGACTTCACTGGTGGTCGGCAGAATGGTCTGAGGTGGTTGTAGGGCTGGGTTAGGGTGCAATTAATCCTGTGCCTATTTAGACAGGAAAGAGGCCTACAACTCCCAGCCTGCTTTAAATTGGGCCTTTAAAATCCAATTAGAGCTCAAAGTGTCTGTACAGATCCTTCTGCAGCCTCCTTGGATGCAACTAGGAGACTCCTCCTTGCAGAAGGATGTGCAAAAGTACTTCACACCTCAAACACCTGCAGGTGGGTGCATTTTAGTGTGTTCCCACACATGCATGCAGTTCATATGCATTCCTGTTTGTGCAAAGGCTGCAGCCTATAAGATGTGGCATCAGTCTGTCTTTTCCAGCCCAGTCAGAGATTATGCAGAGTCTTCATTTATTCATTTTAATGCTCGTTCACATTGTGCTCAAAATAGCTCACGACACGCTGCTACATAAAAATGGAGACACCCAACCCTCCACCCGAGGGCTAAAACATAGATCAGTGTTCAAGCCATACTGGGCCTAATTCAATTACTAGCCCATTGAAGACCCCCATATACCCCTACGCATAACACACCAACTGGGAATCCCCCTGTACCAGCAGCAGCTCTGTCCTTGCACACAAGAGTACACACTTTTATGAGTACACAGTCTTGTGCTCATCACTCTTCAAATCACAGCTATGTTATATTACAAACTTAGTATCCTCCAGATGTTTTGGACTCCAGCTTCCATCAGCCCCGGCCAGGATAGTTTATGAGGTCAGGACAGGAGTGCTGGGAGTTTGTAGTCTCAGACATCTAGAGGACACCTTGCTAGAAGGCAGCACTAAACAAACACTTCTGCAGTTACATGGACATATGCCATCCTACGAAAACAACCTCATTGTTGGAGAAATTATCCACACCTGCACCAATATGAAACCAGGTGTGAAACCAATTCTGAAGGCACTGTTCAGTTTGAGTGTGTGATCAGAGGTGGCTCCAGTTTGCTGGCCCACCACAGCTCCAAATCTGGACTGAGCTCTCCACTGGAAATAGGCTTTCCCCTACTGGGTTTTTGGGAACATGAGATTTTATCACCCTGAAAGCTAGATTTCTACAGGAACTCCTCAATTTAAGTTTATTGACTGATGTTGCTGATAAGATGACACAATCAAGGCTTGTCTGCTATTGCTCATTTGCTCCCAGTTGGGGACTGAAATTTCTATGGATTCCTTCCTCAAAGGATTGGATGACGGGTGGAGAGGGGAGCTCCTCTACCTTTTAACAGTGGAGAGGAAGGAATCTGTGAAGTGCAGCTACTCTGACCCCTGTTGGATGAGCTGCATTTGCCAATGTTCCCCAGCTTGTATCAACAGTGCAGGATCTCACCCTGCCCTGTTGTGTATGGTGACTCTGCAAAGACACACGTGCAGCTGGCCTAAGGGCTCCACATTTGAACAAAGGGCTCGGCCCTGTTCTTGGTGCTTCCCTGGACAATGTCAAGATATAATATATGCAGAGTGTATGGCCTTTCCCAGCAGGGTGGTTGAATGCCCTACTTTATGGAGGACAGTCCTCTTTTTTGGTGAGCTGGTAGAGACAAGGCCTCGACAGGATAGGGTCCTCCACCTGATGAGTTGACTGTCCAAGTCCAGTTTCAGGAATAGCAGAGGAGGCCTTGAAGCTGCCCGGCAGCAGTTTGCTCTCCAAAGCACCTGGAGGACTCCAAACACTGGACAGGCAGGCCTTTGGGGCAGTGATTCAGGCCCACGAAGCAGAATGTGGTGACCGAGTGCTGAGACGGTAGTCAGGTGTGCTATAGTATTGTGTGTGTGTCAGGCAGTGTGTGATGCATTGTTAATATTCCTCAGAATTGAGCAGAAGACTCAAAACCAAGCAACCCTCCCTATAAGTTAAAAAACAAACCTCAGCTATAACATGAGGGAGAAAGGCGCTTGCCCAGCTTGTTACCTGTTGTGCTTGTTTGCTTGTATTTGCAAGGAGTTTTCTTTCACGGGGAGCATTAAAATGTGAACACCAGCTGCAAGCGGATGTGATAACCTTTGTTTGGCCACCTTAGGAATTTACGACTCATTCTGTAGGGTTGGCCCATGCACAGGATGGTGTTGGGAGGATATCTGAGGAGGAAGCATGTACTGGACTGCGGGTGGAAGATACCATTTTTAATGCTCTTCCATGTAAAAACTCCCTACAAGTAGTAAACAAGAGACCTAAGGGAACAAGGTCTGTCCCTAGCCCTCCCTCTGCTGTGCCTGACTTCTGCTTACAGGTTGGCCCTTTGCATAAGGCAGGAGGGTGTTCAAGTGTGATTGAGTGCTGCAGGGTGAAGTCATTTGGGCCATTCTACCATCCCAGCACTCCACCACCTCATTCTGATGATGATGATGATGATGGTGATGATGATGATGCTTATTATTTCACACTGCCTAATAACCAAAACTCTCCAGGAGGGTCACAATTTATGTCACAGCAAATGCCAAACCAGATACTAAAATACAAAATGTAAAAAATATGTGGCTGTATGCATGATACTTGTAAGTATGACAGATGCTGGAATTTGCTGCCTTCCTTCCATCACAATCAAGAGCAGGGGTGCAAAACCTTTAAGCTGCATGTTGACCAGCTGAAGCAGTGGGAGAAAAAGCTGTGCCTGCTCTGTTAGCAATGCTGCGACAGCGAGCTTGCCAGGGATTAGAGAGAGGTAACTTGGAATGACTCTGTTTTCCAAAAAACTTTCACCTCTATCACCATATAGTAATCCCAGGATGTCCGTGTACAGGCATCTGTCCCCATCCCTCTGCACTAAAATATGCATGTGTGGGATGGGGCATATGCCTGGCTCCAGTTGACACGGACCTGTTCCGGGGTTACACAACATACATTGGCTGGGTTCAGGCAACATGACAAGCCATGATTTGTTTTTTTTTACTACTGTTGGTTTGTCCAAAAACAGTTGTGGTATTGCACCATGGTTAATCTGGTTTTTAGGAACTGGAATAAGAACAACAGTTTGTTTTATGGTATCTCCATGCCATTATGGCATATTGTATTGTCTGAACCCAAGATCATGGTTTCCAAAGGGCTGGTATGCAACTACCATATAGTCCATTGGAAAGAGAGGCGACTGCAGGAGTCTCGCAAGCTATCCAGCCTCTGCATGTGGACCAATGAGGAAAAGGCTGATGACATAGGCAGGGATCATCATCTGTCGGGTCGATCATGGTAACCCCACCACGCAAACTGTGGTAACCACACAAGGTTCCTTATTGTGCTGTGTGAATGCATCCATTCTGTGATTTTTGTATATGTTGATTTTATTCCTATCTTCTACTCCACTCAGTAACTAATATTCTGTGTTGTTGTTGTTGTTCACCAATCCAAAAAGGACACCGTGCTATAAGATTTTCGTGAATATATAAATGCAATTAAGTCGCAAACTTCCCCTTTCCTGACCCTCTTCATGAGGTGCTGTTTGTGAGCACAGAGAACTTGGCCCCCCACAAGGATGTCGAGTCCTGCATTCATGTATTGCCAGATGTAACTGGGCAGAAAGGAAGAATGAGGCACAGAGCCACTCTGCTTGGCAGCTGCCTGCAACATCTCATTCCAACCAAAGACACAGAAGTGTTTTTTCGCATGTTTCATGTTTCTCCCCAACCCTCCTGCGAGGCTGGTGCTGCCTACATCTGTGGGGCCTTTATCCATTCCAACTTTCATTTGAAGCTTTGTAGGAGTGATTCCTGGTGCTAAACTCCATCCCCAAATAGGTCTACTTCCACGAAGCATCATGGATAGCTCCAAAAAAGCTCAAAATAAATACCATAGGGGAAAAGGAGCCCCACTGACACCAGCCTTCCCTGCAACCCTGACGCACATGTATGCGTGTTTGCCCACGCTTCCTGTGCACTCATTTCTCATTTAAAGTGCACATTCCACCACCTGCAATGTGGCTGTTTTCTAAAGGTGCCGTATGTCTGTTGGGAGGGTGTTTTGCATTTTCCTGTCACTGAACATGCAGGTGTTTGTAGATGGGAAAATGAGGGTACCCTGGGAACTGCATCCATTCCTATTGCAATTTCTCTCAGGAAATGGGCTGTTGCTTATGATGTCACTAATGACAGCTGCAGAAGTTTCCTCACTCCGTGTATGCTGTGACTGCACCATTTTGTAATTCACACAAGCGCCTGGAAATTCAAAATATTTTTCCAGCCTGAATTATAAGAGCTGGGTTATTCTTCCTTTTTCCAGCAGGGGGCAGTGATATATTCAT